CAGCACTGTGGAAGGAGAGTAGTCAGGGGAGCCATGATTCAAGAGCAGAAGCTGCCCACCCCACACGCCCCAGCCCTAGGGGCCACAGGCAGTGATGAGGGGTCTATACCAATGACCCCGCCAGAGGGCCCTCCCTGCGTGGAACTGGATACACCCCAATACGCAGCCACACGGTGGCTTGGAAGCAAATAACTCAAGCCATGCTTACTTTCATCCTACCTCACCATACTTCAGGTAAAAGACTTGACCTCACCAAAAAAAGGAGGGACAGAAATATGTATGTCTCTTAAAATTGAAATCAAATTTCCTTTAATTCTGTAATAATGTGACTATATTACATACACACACATACAACATAGAAACGCAAAGCAAAATTCCTTATAAACACTTCAGCCTACAATCACAGAAGTTATCCAAAATAAGACACTTCTTCCTAATATCTTTAATTTTTTACTTTTACTTACCAATTTTCAAATCTTCAAAAGCACTGTTTTTCCCTTTCTCCCTTTCTTTCTTCCCTCTTCTCCCTTTCCTTCTTTCTTTCCTTCCCTGCCTTTCTCTTTCTTTCTCATGAATTCATTTAAACATATTAATTATAACAATATGACATGATGTAATTGTGAGTCCTAGGATATTCTTTTAGGAAAAAAATAAATGTATCAAAGAGTGTGCACAGAATGTTTCTCTTGGTGAGAATAAGGAGGGAAAATAAGACTATGCATATATGTTTGCTTATGTTTACAAAAACATAAAACCCCAAAAGGATAAACCAGACACTAATAAAAATGATTATTAATAGAGGGCAGGGAACAGGGTAAAGGAGAATAGGGATGGAAAGGAGAATTCTCTGATTGTATCTCTTTTTATGTAGGTTTTTGTAGGTTTGTAGGTTTATGTAGACTTTTGAACCACACAAACGTATTGCCTATTAAAAACTAAAATTAAGAAGTAAATCCCCAAATTGAAAACAATCTGAAATAAATGAATATAAATCAATTTGGTAACATAACCATATAAAGAAAAATATAAATTCCACGTGACTTTTGAAACATAGTCTTCTGTTAGAACATCTAAGTGGGACATATTCTAAAGACTAAAAAAAAATCACAGAAGAATCATAAACTTCACTCATTAGTTATTAATATTGTTATTGATATTATAATGCTGAACCTAGTTTATGTATAATACAATATAAAACAAGTTTATAACCATATTAATGTGATCAAGAAACACAAAAAGAGAAATATAAAACCAAAAAAATTAAGATACCCTTGCAGTGTTACATTTGAATTAAAAATCTCAATAGAAACTCATAATTTTGTTTTAATACATTTCCTAGCTCTATCCACTGTAATGTCCTATAAGCAAAGATTACCCAGTAGTGATGAGCTCACCAGATACCCAACTCCTCCTTCATCTCTAAATCCAATCTTCCTTATAAGGAACCCAGACTTCTTGGAAAACAATTGGCTGGTTTTAAGACTGGGCTGGGAAATGCACAAGATGAGACTAGAATATCCTTCTGTTCCAGAAGAAAGAAGGCTTGCACGACTAAAAGGAGTTTATCAAAGGACAGAGGGGTCAGAGCTGGGGGGGGGGGGGGGGCTAGTAAAAGGAAAAAGGAAAAAAAAAGGACAGGGGGACATCTTGAAGGATTTTGCACCGGCCAAATTTGGGATAATTTTATTATCAAAAAGAAGGCAGGTGAGCCCAGGAGTTCAGGGGCAGCCTGGACAACATAATGAGACTCCATCTCTAAATAAATAAATAAACAGAATGACGATTGAGATTATACAATTTTAAAAATCCATGAGTCCCACAGTTGTAGTTTAAAAAGGGAGGGGGGGTCCTTATTTGGCACTGACTCCTTACTCGAAAATTTGTAACTGAAGAGAAAAAAGAAGTCAGCAGTTACCCTGCCTTCTTAGGAAAAACTAGTTTAGCCCTAGTTGATTAAGAAAAGTCCCCTCCCTACCACCTTTTTTAAATGCATTAATAAATGTAAAATGCATTAATAAATGTAAAAAAAAAAAAGGATAAAGATAAACAAATCACTGTTCCACAAGCACCAATGAAATAACTGATCCTAAGAATCATGAATATCTAAAACCGTTAGCTGACAGGCTGGTGGGAAAGATATTCTTCTAAGCTGAAGTACCCCTCCCACAGGGAAAATCACACACTTTCCCTGTGCGATTACTTGCTAGTCACACAGGGAAACCTTTACAACGAAGAGACCTGGTGGTCACCACCTTAATACAGTGATCAAAATTCACATCATCAATACTGGGACAACCTGTCATGGCTGAAGGGAATCCTACTGGCCAAACTGGGACAACTTGAACATTAAAAAAAGATGGCAATCGATTATAATACTTCGGGTATTTTTAAAGGTCATGAGCCCACAGTTATACCAACAGGAAAAACACATGGTGGTAGGGTGAGTAAATGGAGAGATAAACCTCTTAGTCCTGTTGCCCAGAATGCTCTTCTCCCTTTGTGGTCAGACAAACATTCGTCATTCAAGACTTGACTCAGATGTCACCTCTCTAACCTCCAGTCCCACCCTAAGCTGACTTTCCCTACTAATCCTACTGCCTAGCACGCCAATTAGACTACAAATGCCTTTAACGCTGCCCTCGATCTGCTCCACGGAGGCCTAAAGCCTCTGGGGAAGAGTCTCTAAGTAAACATACTGGATCACGTGAGGGGTGTTTTGGCCCAGCCAGTCACACCTGCTCAGCAGACACATACAAAGCCAGAATTCCCAGAGCAGAAACCAGAAGGAAAGTTCAGAAAGGAATAAGCCACCCTGAGAATATCAAAGGGGCTCCTTGGCCCCAGCAGAATCCCTACAGTCTATAAATGCTATCATCAACAGCCGTACATCTCAATGGGGAACCCTAGGACAGAGCTTCTCAAACTAAAATGTGCACATAAATCACTGGAGACCTAGTTTCAGATGCAGATTCTGGTTCAGTAGGCCTGCACCAGATTCGGCTTGCCAGTGTGATGCTGATACTGCTGGTCCACAGACCATACTCTAAGCTAGAATTCTCTGGGAGACTTGGGAAGTCAGTTCTTTCTCAGGGAACATGCAGCATTACCTCCTGCCTTAGTAATCATCCTCTTTTGGCTTACACATCCTGTGTCATTAAAAGAAATAAAAGCAAACAAAAAATCAAAACTCTAATTCTTCTGTATCTGGCATATCAAACACATCACTGTCCCACTGTGACAACTATACTATCTCATTCATCTCAATATCCCCAGCCTAGGAAAGATAGGCCCTCAACAAATGCTTGTTAAATGATGCTCTCTACAATAATCTCAACATACAGTCTCCGACTTAATGCCTGCTCGACCTTACAATGGTGCGAAATCGTTCTGCTTTTCACGTTCAGTATAGTATTCAATAAATTACATGAATTATTCAACACTTTATTATAAAACAGACTTTGTGTTAGATTATTTTTGCCCAACTATAGGCCAATTTAAGTGTTTCGAGCAAGGTTAAGGCAGGCTAAGCTATGATGTTTGGTATACATATTTCTTTTCCCTTCACTTCTTGTGGTCTGTCTTTCCCTTTTGATTATCAATTTCTTGAAGACAGAGACTCTTCCCTTTGTTCTGTGGCACACAGTCTGGCACATAATGAGTACTCAGTAAATGTTTGCTGACTTATGCTAGATGACAGAACAGATAAATGCACTACATTCGGGTTCCTAGAGAGAACACTGACTAAAAACATACCCTGAATTTGCGATCCTTTTCTCCTAAGCACTTAAAATGCTCAAGTGTATGACTTGTTTTCATAAAAGTTCAGTAATATATGCTGAAAAGATCATCAACTCTACTTGACAGAAAAGAAAATGGCATAAGAAGGTTACATATTATGCTTCTTCATAGACAACCTCATCAACACAGAAAAAACATACAATGAACAGTACCTCAGTCTTCCCACATTCATCAGGTGGATCCTGGTGTATGGCCATTTGATACTTGACATATAAAGAAAAGGACTGGCTGAAGGACGACTTGAACTCTGGGTCCTCAAAGGAGACAGGTACTAACCTCACCTTCAGAGCAAGCAAAATACAAGCAAATGCCATTGAAACATCTCTAACCGATGTGCTTCTGAAGGTGAGGCTAGAGTAAGATCTCCGCAAATCCACTTCCAAAGCTCAGCACTGGAATTTGTCATAAAAAGAAGAAACCTTGGAATGTGATGGCTGGCACAGAGCCTGAAATGCTAACTTCATACTAAAACTTACGAAAATCTTAAACTCATAAAAGCCAGGACAATTTGTTTTTGCTTCATTTTATTTATTTCTCTATCTACTTATTATAGTTTCTGCATACACTAGAGTCAATGCTGTTGCTAACTGTTGTCATGGCCACTACTTTTGCCACCTCTACTTAATATAGGGTATTTTAAGCTTTTTTCCCCTCCCAGATTTTTCTTGGGTCATTTCATTTATAAAATTTTAAGCATATGAGGAGGTCCATTAAAAAATTCTACTATCCTACTTTTCTAGTCCTACTCAGTTATGCATAATACATTAAAAAAGAATAATTTAGCTATTATGTATGAACTCTTTCTGCATATGACTATTAAATATGAATAAAGCATATTAACTGTGTTGGATAAAAAGTATACCTACCATAAAAATAAAAAGGTTTTTGCTTCATATTTAAATTAAAATACCATATTTTAATTTAGAGCTCTATTTATTAAATGCATCTAAACATAGTGACTTTAAATAATTTTATATGCTACTTTCCACTCTGAAATTATACATGACTGGGCACTTAATATGGCACTAGGTAAAATTTGCACTTTCAGAATGTCCAGTAATTTACAGTCCTATCTCTTGTCAAATATGCTGCAAATTGAATATAAATAAAATGTACCACAAATAAACCAAGATTTCACACCATGATATGAAATGGAAGGGAAAGTTCTGTTTGTACAGAAAAATTACACTTGGCCTGCTGACCTGGCTCACAGTTGGTTTATCAGGTGGGTCCTTGTGAATAACCATCTGGTAACGTTTATAGACCTGGTAAGAGTCTTGAAATGTGGCTTTGAACTGAGAACTTGGTGGAGATGATCTCACCAGCCTCACCTTCAGAAGGAGTTAAAAAAACAGTGTTCATTAATTAATTAATTCATTGAATGTAATATGCATTACCAGTAACTGTCACTCAAAAAAAAAGAAGCTTCAACACAAATATTAAAGCATAAACATATTTTAACACTGAAAGTCAACCAGTTAGCAAATAAATTAAAAAGTTATAACTTGTAGACTCATTAGGGAGGCAGAGGAGGATCCCCTCTAAATTCTAAGCCTCAGCTTTCATGACTGAGTTCTATCAGCCTGCCTCTACTGTAAACCGGCAGCATACTTCTTGCGCTCATGGCACAAATACAAGTAAATACTCTTTAGTTTTAGTTTCATATAACTCACCATCAGTAAGTCAGTTAAACTAAAAATATGAATATGTATTTTGCACTCTTTCGTTCATCACTGCTAATTCTAAACTTACAACTTTGTTTTATAAGTATAAAAGACAACCTTCACAAAGTATTCCTATTTCATAGCACACCTAAGAACTATGACGCTTAAGTCAGATCTCCCTTACTCAACTCTTCTAATGTCCCCATCCTGGCCAAGAAAAGTAACCGCTCTGTACCTTAGTTTACTCATATGTAAAATGAAGATGAATTTAAAAGAGTAACTGCATACAGTAATGGCTTTTATTTTAACATCAATTATTTACTAACCAGTTAAAATGTGTTAGCAAAACAGAACAGTAAAACAGAAAATCAAATGCAATACACGAAGGCATAAACTGAAAACTTTTCGTGTGTGTCATGTGAAGTCTTCTGTTACTAAAGAGCGACACCCAGTGGATAACAAATATCTATATATCCTGGATATCATTACAATAAAAAAGTAAAATGTACTACCATGGAACCGTTATATGAGGTGTGCTTGGCTCCTTGGATACACTACTTATGATCAAAAGAATTCATAAAATATTATATACAGTGGGTACAAATCTTTTTACAATTTTTGAAGGAAAAAAGTCTATCAATATCAGAGTAGCCAAGGAGTTATAAAAAGTTAAAATTTATGTCTGATAATATTGTCCTAAGGTATAGAATGCATTCACGTTAAATTTTAGTATCGGTCTTTAGTGATAAGTGATATCTCAGATGACAGTAAGCTATAAATTCAAAGGCTAACCAATTACTAATCAGGTATGAGAAAATCATTATGGTTAATGTTTTAGAACTACTTTATATATGAGAAACTAATACTGAGAAATTTAGATTTGATCTAGAAATGTTAATCAATTTTGAAAAAAGAAGGAATTTGGCTCTAGAAGTATTCATATAATGCCTAAATTGGTTTGGGCATTAATGAGAGGGCATCTTAGTAGTACAATTTAGCACCATTTAGATAACTCCTAACTACTGCTTTACATATGTGATAATATTTGCTGCCTTGGTCAAGATCAGAATACTATAATGGATAAAACAGTAATTTGCCTAGTGTGATTCTCTTTTGCTATCTAAATCCAAACTGTCAAAAATAAAATTTTAAGGAGTATTTTTCTTTGATACTTTAATTACTAAATTTCAAGAAATACAAAATCCAGAGCACTCTGCATAAAATAACATGCTAAAATAAAAATTGTTTTCATAACTTTAGTAAGCAACTGCCTGAACTATTTTCAAAAAATCTTTTATAAAAAGATTTCTCTTCATTATAGCAGTTAACTTAGCAAAACAAATGCTACTCCATCTCAATTCTCTTTAATTTTTCATTATTTAATTACCAAAATGTCAACTGATTACTATTACCTACAATGAGAATAAACCAGGTACCCATAAAAACCAAAACATAAAACAAACAACAAAAACCCTCCAAAGTACCTCTAACTTGTGTGATGCATCCTCTGGTAAAGATTCCAAGATTAAATCTTCAAGGGATTTGGGCTGGTTGGATTTAGCCTTTGGTGGGAACAAAGATGGTGGCTGACTCTGAGCCTGGAAGCCCTCGGGTTCTCCAGCTGGGTTTTGTTGCATGAGTTTTAACCTTTTCCTTTCTTTCCGGATTTCCTTTGCTTTTCGACATGGAGGCTTACTCAAATCAGCCCCTTTGCCTAAAAAGAAATTCAAAATATTAGACCAACCACATTCAACTCTAGAAATGTTTTTTTCAAGAGAGTCTCAAAGATTCCACAGAGTAAGTCCATAGAGTTTCAACAGTTAGGCTAGCTTTGGGGTGGATGTTTCAAAGGATCCTGGTATAAAAGGCTCTAAGTTGATCTTAAAATCCTAACTTAGAAGCATGAGTTGCCAAAAAAATAAATAAATAAATAAATAAGTAAACAGTCATGGAAACTTGTTAAGGCAGCTCTTACTGTTGAAAATCTTCTTTTAAAATATTCATCCACTTCTCTGCCTTTATAAGTAGGAAGAACATAATCAAATATCTTCTGCTTCAAGACAATGCTATCTCTGGCCAACATTTCTGAGGGACATTTCTCTGAAAGCACTGGTATAAATGAATACTGATCCCAGAAAAAACTCTGGTAGGTTTTTTTTAATAAAAAAAAAATATCCTTGTTAGTTGAACGTATCTGTGTCTCTCTCCAAATACTGCAGGTATCTGGGTCTCATTAGTTCAATGCTAGATAATCAGAATTTTGTTCTAATTAAAAAATCAAATATCAAACTGACAGCCCTTTAAAATAAAAAATGTTAACTATTATAAAGTACAAATTTTTATGAGTAGTCTTTATTCTGGTAAGTCTTCTTCAAAAACTCTATCCTGAGAAAATCATAAGAGATAAAGGCAAATAATGATGAATACAAACAAAACTTCAAAATAACCTAAATGCCCAATTATAGAATATTTACACAATTTTTAGAATAGATATGCAACAGAATATCATACAGCCATTTTTAACGCTTTGAAATTTTAGAGGATTTCTCACTATAAAATGTTTAAAAATAATTCCAGTTATGTATAAATATATACATTAAAAAATATTTAGAAAAACGGCTGGAAAGAAATGACACCATGTTAACAGACATTTTACTTGAATTTAGAAACAGAGAAAGTATTTTCCTTTTTTTTTACAATGTTGTCTTTTCTCTAAATTCTCTAACAATGAACATTGCTGTGAGCTAGGCTGACTCCACGGCACTCACTCTAGCCTAGGCAACAAAGCGAGACTCTGTCTCAAAAAAAAAAGACACACAGAAGCCAACTTAAAGAAACTCTCACAGCCGCTATGGACTGCAACACAGCAGATACGTTTAGATCCATGAGCTCACAATGATACCAAAAAAAAGAAAAACCACCTAATTGATCACTGTTAGAAGATGTTATTTTGAAAAAAGGTAAATAAAGAATCAAGAATTTATTCTGCCTTTGCTATGAGTTTTAATGAGAAACAAATAGGTGAGGGGAAGTTTCTCTTTAAGGAAGCATTCAAGTCAGTAAATAATGAATGAATGACAGAATTAGAATATCTAATGGATGGATGGATTTGGGCATCAAGCATCCATGACTATCAGCACTAACAAAAAGAGAGGGACCCATGCATTATTATGGCTCCTGAAAGACCATACAGCTACTCAAGAATTAATCTTACTCATCCTCACATAGCCCAGGAGTTTGAGGTTGCTGTGAGCTAGGCTGATGCCATGGCACTCTAGCCCAGGCAACAGAGTGAGACTGTCTCAAAAAAAAAAAAAAAAAAAAAAAAAAAAAATCTCTCCCTTGGATCACTTTGTGTAAGTATGAGAACTAATTGAAGAACTAAAGCCATCTAATGAATTAATTCACATTTTATGAAATAATTTGAAAGAGTCATGTACATACACACATTCAGATCCATTTAATGTTGGATATATTTTTTAAGCCTAATTCTTTTATAATGAATAATATAGAAAAAAAATCTTACTTTATTAAGGCAAAGTTAAACATCAAAATTTGGACATTATAAAATTAAAAATTATAATTATATAAAGAAATATAAACTGAAGAATTTTATAATGTCTGCATCTTGGGCATAATACCCACAATTTATGTTGTCTCATTGCCAAAAATAAGAATGTGTATTATAATACCTTTCCACTGACAAAAGACGCTAAAGTAGTAAGGAGAAATGCAACTCTTTTAAAATGTCTGTATTTGGAAATAATAAGGCTATTATTTCAGGCTTTTTAAGTAGATTTAAAAAGACATGATTTTGCCGGGCACGGTGGTTCACGCCTGTAATCCTAGCTCTCTGGGAGGCCGAGGCGGGCGGATTGTTCAAGGTCAGGAGTTCAAAACCAGCCTGAGCAAAAGCGAGACCCCGTCTCTACTATAAATCGAAAGAAATTAATTGGCCAACTAATATATATACAAAAAATTAGCCGGGCATGGTGGCACATGCCTGTAGTCCCAGCTACTTGGGAGGCTGAGGCAGGAGGATTGCTTGAGCCACGAGTTTGAGGTTGCTGTGAGCTAGGCTGACGTCATGGCACTCACTCTAGCCTAGGCAACAAAGCGAGACTCTGTCTCAAAAAAAAAAAAAGACATGATTTGGCCACCTAAATTCAGATAATAATAAGTTGTATGAAAGAGTGTTCTGCTTTACAGATTTTATAAGTTAATTCAACTTTTTGGGTGATGGAAAGGCCTACAGTTTGCAACGACTCAAGCAAAGAGAAAAGCAGGTAACATGACTGGACATCAGACTTTCACTACCTGGCTTAGGAGCTGTATGAACTTTAACCAAGTGCGATGGTTCACCGGAGCCCAACTTCTCTTCTACATCTTGTGATTGAATTAATTCAGTAGATTCTTCTTTCTTGGAGTCTTTTCCTTTCATGTCTTCACTCTCAAAGCTCTCTTTGAGGTCATCACTAAGCGTTTTGAGATCACACCGTATATCCAATTTATTTATTAATGCAAAGTCACCCACAACAGCATCATCCACTGCAGAATCCATGGGCTCATCTACAAATCAGAAGAAATGGAAGTCCATCAGTCAGGTCATTTGACACAATTAATATAAATGCAGGAATACAATGCCCCTATCATCCATGGTGGGAAGAACTCCTGTATGTCCACCAGATCTATTCTCCCATCTTCTAAAGCAAGACAGCTGAACTTAAGTCTGTGGCACCTTAGCAGTGGAATATCCTGCCAGGTCCTTGGCAGGTGGTGACCAAGCTCCCACCACTGGAATGTAACACAACTGATATGTCTAATTTTTCCTTACTTGTTTTAAAGAACATTTTTGACCCTGGACTTCCACCATTTCCCCTCCCCAATAGCTGGATTGGTAAAAAAACAGAGCAACCTAGGAAATCACATGTTAAAGAAAGTTCCAGAATGTCTGGGAGGAGCAGAGCTGCAGGCTGACCTGGAACACCCAGACTGGACTGTTATATGAGGAAAGAAACAAACTTCTATCATTTTTTTAGTCATTGCACTTTGGTGTCTCTTTGTCACAACTGTTTAGTCCTTTCTAAAGGAATGAATTAATGAGCTAAGACTGGGCAGGGAGATTCCCAGGATTAGGCATTTCCTATGGCAGTAGCAAAAAAGAGCTCTAAGAATGGCTGGCATTCCCAATTCTTATGCTCACTTATGTGCAGTTAGTTACTCTTACAGGAAAACGTAAAAAAAAAAAAAAAAAAAAAAAAAAAAAACAGAAAAAGCAAAGTATCTGCAACTAAAGTTAGTTAAACACTAGCCAGGCATGGTGGCTCACACCTATAATCCCAGCACTTTGGGAGGCTGAGGTGGGAAGATCACTTGAGGCCAGGAGTTCAAGACCATCCTGGGCAACGTAATGAGACCTCATCTCTACAAAAAAAATTTAAAAAAAAATTAGATGGTATGGTGGTATGCACCTGTAGTCCCAGCTACACAAGAGGCTGAGGAGGGAGGATCACTTGAGCCCAGAGGTTTGAGGCTGCAGTGAGCTATGATCACACCACTGCATCCAGCCTGGATGACAAAGCAAGACCCTGTCTCTAAAAAAAATTAATAATAAAGTTAATTAGATGCTACTAATTATCTTTTAGGAAAGTTACTCACAATTCAAAATTTACCAGCCAAATAAGAAAGAAAATTTCAGACGATATACTTTACTGAAGTAAAGGCTTACTCAAACAGAAAACCTGATCTTTGCTCAGCATTAGAAGCAACTGTGCCATCTTGTAGAAGCTGCATATCTGCATCTGTTTCTCTAGAGAGAATGCCACTTTCTATTTAACTCATAAGGATAATATTAGAATCAAGTAAGATGAGTTGTCAAAGCACTTTGAAAACTGACATTTCAATAAACTCTAGGAAATCACAACATCTTTAAAATGATCCTCAATTTTCTTCCCAAGATAGACTGTCCTGGTATATATTTGCGATATCCTTGATTTGGGGGCCAGAGGTAACAGGAAGAGTGGTGCCAATATAGTCGTTGCCATAGTAGCAGAAGTACATGATTGTAGTAATGACTCCCTCCCCTACCTAACTCAAGACAACTGAAAGTGGGACCCTTGGAAAGAGACATCAATTTAAAGTAAAGTTCATGACCCCATCTCATCTTACCCTCACAATTTCCTTTGGAGATTTCCCCTTTAGCCAGAAATTTCAACATTTTTTTCAAAACCTTCTTGTGAGATTTTGAAGGCTGAAAATGTAAAGGCCGGCACCTAGGAAAGGAAAATAAATATTTAAAAAGTGAACTCAAACTTGAAATAAAACCAGCTCTGGATAGTTACCTATATAATGAGGCAAATCTGCCTGAGATTACTGGCTAAAGATGAGGTTTAATGCAGCCCCCTCTAATCCCACCCCAAATCACACTAAATATATAGTTAAGAGATTAAAAAAGAAGAGAAAGACATGAACCACTAGAAAAAACAGAAGGGGAGAGTGCTGGAAGTTGGAAAACAGATGAGCAAGCAACTGACTTTAATAGACTAAAGAAAAGGTTGAATCCTAAGCTAACGGTGGGAAAAACCAAAAAGATAACCAATTTTCTCTATGTTGCCCCCAAAAGTCTTAGGGATTGGCGATATCTGATACTTCTGGAAATATGAGTAAAGGTGGGTTGAAAAATAAGAGAACCCCTCCTACAGCTGTTTTCAAAGCAGTTAACACAGATGTCAGATCCCCTCTCCCACCCACAGACTCCCTACTCAACCCAGCAGAAAACTGCAAACTTTCAGGAAAGAATAAAAAGTAGAGCCTCTCACTTGAGGGATAAGAGGAAACAAACGATTTCTCTTAAGCTATTACAACCATAAAATAACAGGATGCTATTAAGAGAGAGAGAGGGAAAGAGAGAGGGAGAGAGAAAGTCTATGAGAGAGAGAAAGTCTAAAAACAAAAAGACTTTCAGATATAAAAATATGATAGAAGAAATTTAAAAACTTGGAAAATAAAGTTGAGGAAATAATCTCTCAGAAAGATTCTACAAAAGAGAGATGAAAAACTGAAGAGAAAAGAAGAGTTTAAAAGGACCAGTGTAAAAGGTCCAGAATCTAAATAAAGGCATTAAAGAAGAAAAGAAAGAAAATGGAGAAGATTAAAACAAAATTCAAGAAAATGTCCCTGACCTGAAGGAAATGATGGTAGGAGTGCCCCTCAACTCCACATGCAATGGATAAAAACAGACACACAGCCAAACTTACTACAAAACAGAAGAAAACTGAGGACAAAAAAGCTTCCAAAGAAAGAACAAGTTTTGGACGAATCAAAATAACACCGCGCTTCTCAACAGTAATCAAAATAACACTGCACTTCTCAACACTAATAATACAACAATGGAGCAAAGACTTGAAAATTCTAAAGGGAAATTATTGTCATCCTACACTTCTATTCTCAGCCAAATCATACACCTAAGCAGTGAATTAAAACATTTTTAGACATTCAATGTCTCAAAAAAATGTACCCCTCCTGCACTTTTTCTCAGGAAGCTATTAGAAGATGTGCTTCGCTAAAACAAGGGAATGACCCAAGGAAAAAAGGGATCCAACTCAATAGCTAAAGAGAATCCCCCAAAATGACAGTAAAGAGAAATAGCAGGATGACAGTGATGCTTCAGGTGTGGAGGGTAACCTGTCCACATCACAGCAGGTCAGAAGGGTCCACAAAAGACTTTCAAGAAGATAAAAGTGATAAAGTACTCAATGCATCTAAACATTCTAAGAAGAAACTTACACAAATGGGAGAACATTTCAAAATAAACTGGTAATAGTTATATAGGAGACTATGATAATCAGTAACTCCAGACAGAGCAAAAATCACGTGCAGGAAAGAAAAGTAATCGTAGTACACCACATGGCTCAGTTGTGAAGCATATATATACACTGTCATAATGATCTGAACACATCTATCCAAAAGTATAATACTTCTAAATGGGAAGTTGGGGGTGAAGACAAAAGGAGCTTCAATATGGCAGGGGAACAGAGATGAAAAAAAACTAAATCCTAATCTTTCATAGAGAGAATCCTAGAAATAATGGAGAAAACTAAAAGAAAAAAATCAAATATTACAATTATATAAGCATGTTCCAATTATATAAGCATGACAGGGTGATGAAAAACCAAAACAATCAGTTACAACATTGAAAGGTGACTGCCTTTCACTGGGAAACAGGAAACAGAAAAAGAGAGCTCGGGGACTGCTATTTTCCAAAATAAGCTTTATGGAACTATTTGACACTGTAAAGTATGAGCATGTATAATTCTGATAAGAAAAAAAAAATTCATAGTCAGAGAAGTTCATCTTCATTTATGCTCACAGATCGGAGAGCCCCCAGCTTCTGCCTAACAAGAAGCTAAGTTGTAGGCTATAACCTCCTTTCCTGTATATAAATTCTCACTGTAACTACTGTAGTACATGAAGTAAAATAACCGGAAGAGTAAACTTGGAAAATGATTCCACAAGATATATAATGAAATTGTGTAAAGAGTAATAATTCAGAAAACTATGATTCCATGTTAAATATAAAAATCACATTTTATAACTACTTTGTTTTGCAATGTGAATTGAATCCCTTTTTATAAAGGCAGTATACCTAGAACGGTGCTTTGCATATAACAGGCACCGAATATATTTTGAATGCTTTATCTCTTCCTTAACCAACTGAAATCAGCCTTTTATGATCATAAAGATTCTCAGGGTTCAAGCCAATCAACTTAAAACTTAAGAACAGAATCATGTCCATAATCCAATTGCTATTTGAAGGAAAATGACTTCTGCCTTAGAAAATGTCTTCTCTTCATAACCATAAAAGCTGACAAAGGACAACACAAGCTACTCTGTCATTCTGTCCTTCACGTAACGAGATGGTGTCAGCAAACCTGACACTCATCTTTTCTCCTTGTCATCTGGTGATGTGATGTCCAGTTTGGTAAGAGAAAGGGCTCTTACTCAGAGATCAGTGGACCTCTGGAAGTCTGTGATCGTCCTAAAATTAATGTGCAAAGTGTTATGTATTTGTGCCTGTATGCCTTTAGCAGGGTGGAAGGGGGCAGAGGCTACAGCTTCCTTCACATTCTGAAAATGGTCTGCAACAACAGCAACTACGGGAGATAGCTGTGCAGGCCAAACAAAAAACGATGGATACGACTGGGTCTGATTTTCTTATCTAGAGTATATATACACATTGAAACTAGAGACAAATACATACTTCAGAATGTTAATGTACTTTCCACATTTTCTGTCAAAAAAAAAAAAGAAAGAAAAATAAAGAAAAAGATGATGACCATTATAACCAAAAAAGGAGAGAAAATTCTTCTATGTTAGGACAGATGAGGAGGTATATGGAAAATCCAAAAGATTATGAAAAACCTAACACTCTGTAGGAAAAATAGACTTTTTGGTTTAAGTTTTCCATTTAAGAAAACTGAACTCTGAATGTGCAAGTGGCAGATTAAGTTTAAGCCCTATTCCTAACAACTAATTGCTCCTATAGTATTGCTTGAATGCAACCAGTGTCAAGCAATACCTCAGAATGCAGAAAATCCTAAGTCCTATAAAAATTTGACATCTAAAGGTAATTTGAACATTTACCAATATTTTGCCAATATTTTATGGTATTCATAGATGAGATGGCTAAATCAAGAAGGTATGTTTCACATATTTATATCCAATCAATTAAACATTATTAAAAGTTATTGATCAGCACATAAATATAGCACCAGTATAAAGAAAAGACATAACTTACTTGCTTTTCCTTAAAAAGAATGTCGTCACAGAGTGGAAATTAACACTTTAAAAAGCACAAGAGACTACAAAAAATTATACACAATTTTCATATTATAGATCCTCTCTCTACTAATTAAAATTCTTACCTTATTGTATACTGGGGACAACATGTTTGATTCATGACTGGTTTGTACACATATTTCCCACTTCTAAAATTACAAAAATACTTTGTTAATTTCTTATTTATTTTTCACATGTACCAAAATAGATTAGCAAAGGAGCACTAAATGAACTCAGTAAAAAAAATAATCAATAGTATAAAATTGCATTTAGGTTTAATTACTCTTCATAAGCTAACTAATCTTCAAAGTGGGACTAGAACCCAGTCTTTTACTTCCTAAAACTTTACTTATGTCCTCTAAGGCTGTGATTCCCAATCCCCAGTCTGCAGCCTGTTATGGACCAAGTCCCAAATCTCTGCTGCCTCCACCCCTAAAAAACTGTCTTCCATGAAACTTAGGAAAGGGGAGCACACAGCAGGAGGTGGGTGGTAGGTGAGTGAGCAAAGCTTCATCTGTATTTATTGCGCTCCCCAATGCTCACATCATTGCCTAAGGTCTGCCTCCCTTGGAAAAATTGTCTTCCAAGAAACCAGTCCCTAGTGCCAAAAAGGCTGGGGACTGCTGCTCTAAGGCTAATCATCTGAACTAGCCTCACACCAGCATCTGCGATCCCTTCCCTGCCTTCACCTGCCACCATCTTCAACTACAGAGCAATGACAGAAAACTGCCCTTGATACTGTGGGAACGATGTATACTGCTGCCTGTGACAACCACATTTGGGTATTCCACATGCACCATACAAAGCACCCAAAAACTAACCCAGTGCTTTCCATGTATTCCACAACTATGGTAATAACAGAACCATTCATTCAGCTCTCAAGCCAGAAACCTAGGAGTCTTTTTAGACTTCTTCTAACCCACCTATACATCCTGTCAACAAGCTTTCCGCCTCTAAAACATATCTCAAATTTTGTCCCCTCCTCTATCACCATTGCCACTAAGAAGCCAGTCTACATCATCTCACATGTGGATAGTGCAATAACCTCTGGAACTCATCTTCTGCCTCCATGACCACCCCCTTAAATATCTCCCTACTATCTGAATGATCTTTCCCAAAACAAACTCCATTGGATTTCCTTCTTACATAAATTCCTTCAATGGCTCCCTTCCACCTTTTTAAATAAAAAAGTTCCTTATCATCGCAAACAAAGTCCTTCAACATCTGAGCTATGTCTACCTCTTAAGTCTCATTATTAAGCTCAAGGAAAGGTGTGATGTTTTAGCTGGTGCTCACGGTCCCAAGTCTATGGAAGAGTATTGGCATACAGTATTTAACATTACTTATATTTACATAAGGAACTTAATCTAAGAGTTACTTAAAAATCATCTGCATAAAAATAACTACCCACAAAGGCAACGTGTGGACCTCAATGGAATCATAATTCAAATAAACCAACTATTAAAAAAGAAATTTTTGAGACAATCTGGAAAATCTCATCAAAAGTAGATAACAGGTAACATCTAAGCACTATTATTAATTTTATAAGGTATAATAATGATATTGTGGATACGTTAAGAAAAAAGAATACTTCTCTTTTAAAGACACACACTTATTATGGGTATATTGATATGATATCTGTAATAAAAATATACACATGTAATTTGCTGTAAAGCACTCAGAGTGGAGAGAAGGAGCACCAATGAAACAGGAGCAGCAGGATATTAGTAACTGTTGAAGCTCAGCAATAGGTACATAAGGTTCATCATAATGTGTACTCTTTGCTTTTGTGAATGTTTGAAATTATCCTAGTAAACATTTTTAAAAAGAGAACATCACTATACAAAAGAATATAATAAAAATGTTTTTAAACTTCTTTCCAACAGGAAAACATTTTAAAGACATGCCCTCTTTTTCAATTATAAGAACCACCTGAGTAATAGCAAGAAGGTCTCTGTGTGTTAAAGAGCTTTACCTTCGCCATCCTCGGTCTATAAGATCCTGATAATCCTGTACTGTCATGGAATGTGCCCACATGCCTGAAAAAATAAGTAGTGTGTTAATTTTAGCAGGCTGAACTTTTTTCTTTCTTAAATTCAAAGTGTTATTTCAGAAAATATGAGTGTTCAGGCTAAAATTCTAGAACACTCATATTGGAGAAATGAGTACATACTTTACATTTGTTAATCTGACATATATACATACAACTGAAAAGTAAGATTTAATTTAAAAAATCAAATATATCTGGCTGGGTATGGTGGCTCATGCCTGTAATCCTAGCACTCTGGGAGGCCCAGGCGGGCAGATCATTTGAGCTCAGGAGTTCGAGACCAGCCTGAGCAAGAGTGAGACCCTGTCTCTACCAAAAATTGAAAGAAATTAGCTGGACAACTAAAAATATATAGAAAAAATTAGATGGGCATGGTGGCACATGCCTGTAGTCCCAGCTACTTGGGAGGCTGAGGCAGAAGGATTGCTTGAGCTCAGGAGTTTGAGATTGCTGTGAGCTAGGCTGACGCCATGGCACTCTAGCCCAGACAACAGAGTGAGACTGTCTCAAAAAAAAAAAAAAAAAAATCAAATATACCAAAGTGGTTACATTTAATTCAGATAGTCAATAGTCTCTATGACATCATATATTAAGGTCCTTACTGCAATCAGACTGCATCAGACCTTCCAACTTTAATAATATCCCCAATGATTTAATACACTGGTTGGTCTCTTCAGAAAATTACAAAGCAAATTTTTTCATGTATATTCTTATTTATATACAGGTATATATTAATATTTACAGGCCAGGCCAGGCACAGTGGCTCACGCCTGTAATCCTAGCACTCTGGGAGGCCAAGGCAGGGATTGCTCGAGGTCAGGGTTCAAACCAGCCTGAGCAAGAGCAAGACCCCTCTCTACTAAAATAGAAAGAATTAATGGCCAACTAAGATATATAAAAAATTAGCCGGCATGGTGGTACATGCTGTAGTCCCAGCTATGCAGAAGCGAGGCAGGAGGATTGCTTGAGCCCAGGAGTTTTAGGTTGCTGTGAGCTAGGCATGCCAGGCACTCTAGCCTGGTGCAAGAGCAAGACTCTGTCCAAAAAAAAAAAAAGTACAGGACAGTCTAGAATATTAAAATAAGTATAAATATAAAAAAAGTATATAGCAATAATCTTTCTTTACACTGAAATAATCTTTCAGTGTAAAAACTGAAAGTAACCCAAATGCTAAGAACAGGAAGATTATTACAGGGACTATGAGGTTACCAATATGATGGAATAATTATGCAACTATGAAAAAAAAAAGACTATAAGAAAACTTTTAAAGGCATATCTGAACTAATGTTAAAAGAGAAATGGATTTTTTTCCCTTTTGTAAACAGCAAACTGCAGCAGAGATATGTCGAACACCGATAAAGGCTAGGCTTCACGACAGGACTGCTATTGAAAAATCATGGCACTATAGTCCAACAGAAATATTGCGAAATCTGGAGGTGATCACTATACCGCAAACAAGTACCTATAAGCCTCACTTCATCGTCTATAGAAATAAAATAAAACTCCCTACCCAACAGGTGGCAGGTGTCTTAAAATAAGTTACTAACACTAAACTTGCAAATGCGAGAAATGTAGTATTGTTATCTAGATGAAAAAGTTGAAGGCAGGCAGTTCTTCCTGAACTTGGAAACCAGGGTATTATAATTAGAAAACTTTCTTATAAATTATTAAAAAATACTAAAAGGAAGTATAAAATATTAAGATTTACAAGTTTAATAACAATATTACAACAGCTATTATATTCACCAAGACAAAAAATCTGACAAAGAGAAGATATTACTCAAGCAACCACTGTCACTATCTGTGTGCTCTCTCTTAGGCCTTTTCCTGTCAGAACTGTAATCATGTCGCATATGCCTGTGCATCCTGTTTATTTCTCCATTTAAGTCTACCTGCATAGATATTTTCCATGGTTCATAATCATCACTTCTAATGAATACCTAATGTCTACTCAAGACCGTTGCCACAAGAAGCGACCTAATACAACTTCTTAATGTATGAATGCATACGACCATAACTGACAATCATTCATTTAACATTTTTAATAGAACTACCTCAATTCTGTACTTGTCATATCTCGTTTTCCACAATGCAGGATATTCTATTAAATAACAGACCTACATTCTGTATCTGCCAAACGCAAGACAAGGAGGAATAACCAGGAGTTTTGTTTACAACTACGAATCTCCCAAATCAGACCTGAATCGTGATGGAAAGCAAAACACAATTACAAACTGTGGGCTGGCTCTTGCTGCACCGGGTGGGCAAGGTGTATGCATACAAGCAACGTGGTAAACTGGTCACACAGATCAAGAAAACGGCTTGCTGGCAGCCTGGTCACAATTTCCTTCTGTGTAGTTTTTCCAAGACATTTAAAGCATACATGAGTGGGCACTGTGCGCACACTGACATCTCCTACACAAACAACACACGCCCGACTGTCCTGGCCCTGAGCCGCACGCACTGCAGGATGTTCCACTGGTACCCACAGGTCAGCTCAGCCACAACTCTAGACCCCACTCCCCACCACTTTGGTCGGCCCGCCCTCCCACTATGGGCATCGGTTTTCAGGACTTCGCAAGACACGCCGATCTCGCTGTCCGGAGCAGCTGTGGGCACTTTTTGTCTTTTCTTTTCTCTGCCTTTTGGAGAGTAGCACTGAGAAGCTCCCCGCTGAGTCACACGTGAAGGTCGCCTGATTCTGACAGCCACGCCCTCCCGGAGTGCCTCCACCTCCAAGCGGCACGGAGACGGGCCGGGTCCGGCCGCCGCGGTCCTCGCGCGAGCGCTCCGCCGGACACGAGACCCGAGCCGCGGCGCCCGGCGCCCAGCCGCCGGCCGGCTCGCTCACTATTGAGCGACTGCCCGACTCGTTCTTGCAGTACCGCCAGCGGTAGAATCCCGCCCTCGAAATACTCCACGATGCTGGGCGAAAGAGTGGCCAGGAAGCCATCGCCGCGGCCGGCAAACGCTCGGAAGCCCCGGCCGACACGACACCGACACCGCCGCCCACCCCACAATGCAACGCGCCGCCGGACCCCCGAGGCTCGCGCGAGCCACTCGGGCGCCCGCAGGCCGACAGCCAGCGCCTCTCGGAGCTGACGCCGCCCGCCCATCTTGACCGAGGGCAGCTTTCCCGCTATCCCGTTCTTCTCGCTGACGGCCCGTCGTCAGGAAGCGAGGCAGACAGACGAGCAGGGAAGGGTAGTAGGCTGGAAGAAACGAACGGGAAAGGGAAGCCGAAGCAGGATGCGGCCTGCTCTCCCAGGGGCCGGCCCGGCGCGCGGGGGCTGCGCAGCGCGGCCGCGCAGTCCAGTCGACGGGACACTCACGCACGACGCTTGCCTCCTCGAGCCGCAGTAGCCGCAGTGGTACGCCGGCCTTGAGGCCCTTGTATCCACCAGACCATGGCGCCGAGAGGTCCGCTCGGGCGGCCACGCTCTCCGGCGCCCGGGCCGGCTCGCGAGCGCGGGGCCGCGGCGGGGAAGGGTGGAGAGCGAGGCCCGGCGCGGGGGGTCCGGGCGTCGCAGCCCGGCGACCCGAGACAGGGACTCCGGGGACGCTGGCTTAGATGGCAGTCGTGCCCCCAAGCCAGGTGGGGGGCCAGCCCTCTGCGTGCTCCTCCGTCAGTCCTTCCCACAGCTGCGCGTGGTCGGCCCCATTTCACAGATAAACAAACTGAGGGCTGGAGGTTGTGATTCACCCAAAGGCATTTCCTGCAGGTCTCAGATGCATTTACCCTCTCTGGCTGCCCCTGACCGCCATGTAGATAACTAACTGGAGCTTCTTCCAGAACAGCTGGCATTCACTTAAATGCCCTAGATCCTGGAAGGGAAGCAAGCATTCTGTGAATAGGGAGGGGTAGAGAATTGGTGAGCACCTAAGCTTTTAAAGGAAATTGTCAGTTAGAGCCAGTTGCTGCCTTGTGCCACTATAAGCTCAGTGCCACATCTCTTATAACTTTTAAAGAGAAGCTGGAACTCTAGATGTTTTTTAATACAAAATTTTAAAATGTCTTTACTTAAAAATAATTTTCTTCTAACTCTACAGTTCAGATAAAACGTTTAGAGAGACTGAATTCAGCTGATGGGCTTCTAGTTTGCAACCACTTTAAAAATGAGTACCTCCAAGAAAGTAATATTCCTTAATCATTCCTTTTGTGCACACAGATAGTTTAAGCCTGTCTGTCCTCATAGTTTTCCTAGCCAGCAATAAAGCTGATTATCTTTTTTGCAATGTTTAAAAAAGTGAAAACATGAAACTCAGAAAAACAGAAGTAAACTTTTGAAACCAGAGGTCAGTTTCAACATTCCTGACCCAAGGTCCACTGTGGTGGATACGTGCCTAGTTGAAGACAATTTTTGGTGGCCTGGTGACTTAGTACATTGCCAGGCATCACTTGTGTCTCGCACAAACAAAAGGAACCTAAGGAATGGCCGTGCAGTATGCAGGAGGTTCTCAAGGCCCTTTGGGGTTGCTCCAGCTCCTTAGACTTGAAGCCTCTTTGCTACATCTCAGTACTCGTGTTCTTAAGACAGGCTTCATCCATCTTGTTCTTTATAGAATATCTGACTATTCCCAGTCCTTTCCCTGACAGGCTATCATTGTGAATGAAAGCAAGGGCCTGTGTAATGAAACAGAAAGAGAGCAGCAGGTCATGTTCTGGACAGAAGGCAGGAGGCCAGGAGGCTTTTTGGTCTTTTATTATATTCCTATCCTGCTTCATTTCTGTCCCTTTGAAGGCTCAACCTTATCCTAAGTCCTAGACCATCCTCAGCCAGGCCACTCCAGGACATACCAGCCTTGAAGAATAAATGAAAATGTACAAAGTTCTAGGCATGTGTTAACTTGCTTAATCCTTATAGCGACTTCCCAAGATAGGAAATGTAGACAAAAGAGGCTAAATCAGTGCTCCCCCATCTTTCTGGGACCTGGGACCCATTTCATGGAAGACAGTTTTTCCACAGACTGGGATTGGGGGGGCAGTTA